CTCTCATCTATCATTCGTTCCATGGTCCCGTCTCTGTTTAACCGTGTTGCATCCGTTGTATCTCGTTTCTCTCGCCTAGCTGTGTTCCTCGTTCTTCCATTCTCACTCCCTTGGCCGCCGCAATTCGCACACCCTCCCCTCCCCCTGTCATTTACATGCGTGCACGTGGTACGAGCGCGTAACCACTCGCCTAGACGCGTCTAGGGACGAGTTCGTTTGCGCTCGTTTTCCCTCCCCCGAAACAGTCTCGGCGACACCTCTCTTCGGAGAAGTCAGGAGAGCGTGGAAAAACAACACGAGAGATATGTATGTACGTAGCTGGTCGCGAAGAAATCACGCAAGTGGTAAGAGTAGGATTGAAAAGACCAGATATTTAGGATATTTGTACGAGGTACGTGCGTGTACGAGATGATTTTCAGGGATGGAGATGCCCGTCGTGAGCAACAGCGATCCAATATTCCGTTGTTTGAAAATTGGAGGTTTGAAATAAAGTCGAAGGGGACGTGTTGCAACTGTGCGGAATTTTAAATATTTTGATCAAAAAGTATTCTTCATCAATGGCAAATATCGTGAATCTTTTTTTTTTCTCTCTCTCTCTCTCTCTCTCTCTTGTGCGCTGAACGTAATTTGTTCTCTTTTTTTTTCTTCACAGAGACATCGAGGATAGAAAATATTAAAAATAAAAACTGTCAACTTTCCAACGAACGAAATTCTTTTTTCCCTCTCTCTCTCTGCTGTCCTTTCCTAAAAGCGTTCTACGCGTGAACAAGTCGTTGTCATTTGCACGGCCGTGCATCGTTTGCCACGCGAATTTACTCAACCATTTGGAAAGCCTGTCTTTGTGATTTGACGCGCGTGGCGATGTCAGATGTTTAAAATTACGACTCCCTGGCCGGATCGCCTGGTATCGGGCTAATCCAAAAAACGTTCTTGCGTCGAATCGAATTTTTTCTAGCTGGATAGAGTCGCACGTGTCACTCTCTCGCGGTCCGACTGCCGACCATGCCTTTTAAAATTGAAACTCGATTTAGCCATAGGAACCGTGAAAATGATCGGCACAAACGAGGATCGAGGTGCGATCATACCATAAATTTCGTTGACCGCGTTAATTCTTACAGATATACTTTTGTAACATTCCTCTTCGGCGAATTACAGGATGTAATTTCTGTCTTTTCGAAGAATTTATCGCTCACTGATTTCGTTACTCATTATTTTAAATGAATTCGTAGATGAACTTTTACAGTGTACATCGACAAGTATCGCGTAACACAGTATTATAGGAGATTTTTAGATTGAAAACAAATTTGTAGCATAATATTTTTTTGAAGGTCATCCAGGTAGTTTACTTTTTGCACTCACCTAGGTGAATTTCATCGCACGCTCGTTCAAAATACACCTGTTAAATCAAAAAGCGGGACACGATAAAAACGTAAATTAATCCTCTTCTCCGGCGTAATACCAAATCACCCCTTTTTGATAATAAACAGAAAAATTGGAAATGGTATACGTTGGGGAAAAACGGTCGACACTTTCGACCCTTTCGTCGAGCGTCAAACGACGTCGAGTGTCGAAAATGCCCGCACTCGCCGCGCGGGATAATAATAATAATAATTACGATGGATTATAATATCACTACACGTACTTAAACATCGAATTAACCCACGCCAAGACACCCTAGGCTATATTGAGAGTAATATGCCTATTACACGTCTTTCCTCTGTCCTCCCTCTTCGGCGTGTAAATTACACGCGCCCCGTTTTCTCATTAACGTGCGTGCGTGTGAATCACTTATATAACCCTTGCCTGTTCGTACGAACGGTCCAAAAAAGAGAAAGAGGGGAAAAAAGAAACCAGAAAAAGGAGAAAAATGGGATAAAAAATAAAAATAAAACAAACGACGCGCCCCTTCGACGCGAACAGCCGCGAAACGTCGATGTAATTAAATTCCCTTGGCCGATTATTTCGTCGATCGCCGTGCATGCGTCGAATTTGCATTTTCAATGAACGCCGACGCCCGTTTAAATCGATCTCCTACGTACTTATAGCGAGCTTATTTCAGGGGATTTCTCCTATATCTGTGCTCGAGAGTTTCAAGGTTACACGAAATTTTACACAAATGTCAAACGTTTTTATAGAAATCGAAGAAAGTTATCAATGTTGTCGTACGTTGCAGAGAGTTTTGAACGAAGATTGAGATTGAATATTGCGACATTGGAGGAGAGAGAGAGAGAGAGAGAGAGAGAGAACTAACAGGATCGCTTTTAAAAATACACGTCCAACTACGAATCATCTGAAATTGCATAAATTCCTGCGTTACTCGTAGACTCGTAGACGAGTAAAAGGGAAGAAGCAAAGAAATCGTACAAGTGCGTACGTACAGTCACGCATCCTCCGTCTACGATCCGCTAATCTCGACCTGGTGACTCTCCATCTTGCCATCTGAAAGCAACGAAAGATCATAGCGCTAGATACACAGGATCTCGACGTAGGGTAGCAAAGGTCGAAGGAAGCAAGCTTGCATCGAGGACGATCCGCGGCCGGCTATTCGTAGGCGCTGGTAGTTGCAGGTCGTCGTCGGGCTTCGGGGGTTCGCGGCGCGCATCGAGCATCGCGCTGATCCAACCCTCCGAAAAAGCAGCCGGCGAGAGGCCGGCTGCAACCCTCCTATCGGCATCGCTCCGCCCCGTGCCACCACTCTGGCTGCACCCCAATAGTGGCACGGCCGCGTATAGTCGCCTATAGGGCTGCACCGAGCACGTCGATGCACCGCCACGCCGCGTCCCTTTCGCGCTCTCAACCCTTCGCCGGTCCATCCATCCGTCTGTCCGTCCGTCCGTCCGTCCGTCCCGTTCGCATCCCTACCAACCGGATCTGCATTCTACGCGCCATCCATCTCATCCGCGCTGCGAGCCAGCTGCCGACTCGAATGTCGTTGCTGTTAACTACTCGCGGATATTTCTCCTTTCGAGCGGCCTTCCTCGCCTCCGACAAACCCACCCTTCACCTTTCGCGCTCACCTCCTTTCGACGTCCTCGACCGACGTACAGAACCGCTCTTCCCTTTTCTTTTCACCTCCCTGTTGCTCCTCTCTGTCACACGCGCACGTGTTTTCCTCCTGGATGCCTCTCCTGCATGTCTCTTTCTATCCAGCCCTTTCTTCCCTCTCGCTGTCTTCCCCTACCCCCTAGCTCGCGGAGCGCCGTGTGCATGGAAATCTCTATTAGGAACTTCCATTTTTCTGCCACAATGGCTTCTCTGCTGCCCCCCTTTGCCACGCAAAGTGTGTGTCGCGAGGGGATACAGCAAACGTCTCTACGACGAAGCTCTCGCCGATGCGATGCGACTTCGGGATGGCCGGTCGTTATTGCAAGGGACAAGGCAACCGCCTCGCGCTTATCGTGATTAAAAGTCTCGCTGCTAGCGCGCATCTTTAATCAACGTTGATCCAACGTTTCCTTTCAGAAAGACGGTTTTGTCATTTTGTTTTCGTTTACGGAGATGGTTTCAGCAACCGGATGGAATAGATAGATGGGCGCGTTTTCGCTAGAGATTTCTGGGTTATCGTTGAATATCTATTCAATCGATACGAGGAAAGGAGTGAAATTAAGGGGAAAGGTAGCGTAGTTGGTAATTATTCTTCCTCTTTGTCACGTATTTTTTCACGTAAAATAGAGATTGTTTTAACAAAGATGGAATAAATCCACGCGTTTCTGGTAGAAATTTTTTGACAGAGATACCCAATTCTGGATATTCTATCGTTATCGAATCAATTAAAAAATTAAAATATTAATTAATTGAGCGAAGAAGTAGCGTTGGTAATTATTCTTGCTCTTTATCACGTATTTTTCGTTGATCAACTTTTACATTGCAAAATACATTTAAAAAAAAATATAACAATTTTATCAGGAGGTAGTATATTGTTTCAGCAAGGATGGGACAGATTCACGCGTTTTTGACAGAAAATTTTTAGATATTGTCGTTATCGAATCAATGCAAGGGAAGAAATTAAATCAAGAGAAGAAGTAGCGTCGCCAATTATTCTTCCTTTTTATCGTGTATCGTTCATTGATCAACTTTTGCGTTGTGAAACACATTTAGAGAAATATGAGAATTTTAATATAAAAGGATTTTATTGCAGGGAATAAATAGAAGTATACAAATAAGCACAAATTGTATATAAATAAGTAATAATACTTTTATTCACAAGAAATGAACAAATACAATCTCAGTGTAATTTCAATTTTCATCTTTTCTTTTCAAGCTGATATTAGTAATAAAAAGGGAATACTCGTTTGAGCATTGGCAACTCATTTCCTTTTTCACGTTTATATCAAGACACGCGGGATATCCAATACATTAGGAAATAAATAGAAGTCCTGGTTTTTGTAAGCCAGATACTCGACCGAACGGAAACGCTGGCGAACCGTTAATTTGAATATTGCTGAGGCGGACTTCTGCGCTTTGAGCTTTTCGCATTCCGCTTTTCGGTATTCCGCTATTCAACACATCCGACGATGAAGCCACTAATTTCCCGCGTAAAAATCTCCATATCGAATTATTATTCACCCAGCGTTTGTTCGATCCCTTTGTTGCAAATATTTCTCGCTCGATAACGAAAAAGTCCAGGAATACAGCCCTCCGCGGATTTCAGCAAACCTTTGCAAAGCAACGTCTACACATTTCCCAAATTAATCATCAAAAGACGGTCGTTTCACTTCTATCGTCAATTTCTCTCTCGGCATCTCAAAGAGGCAAACTCAAAAGTACTTCGTTCAATACAAGAGTCAATCTCTCTCAGATTCATCGTCCAAATGTACACGGTGTGCCGCCTGAATGTAGAATCTGAAGCACTGTTGAAAAAGAGTTGTTAAAAATAATCAAGGGTTGCTATGAAAAATTAATCAAGATCGATTATCGTATAACATTTTGCTTTGTACAATTTTTTTTCTTTTTTCAATTAAGCTATCATCGAACCTAATATCTTTTTCGCATGAATGACCTGAATCTTCTGTCATATTCCGTTCCGTTCTATAAAAAGAATCAATCGCATGGAATTCCTTCCAAAGATCAGCTATTTTCGTCTCATTACATCTCGTCTCCGGACATAATCGACAGTGCTGCGGATTCAGCATCGGGTTCCAGTTTCAGACGCGTCACCCTGTACGCAACGCTCCATTTTCAATCACAACGCGGCACTGGCCAATGCGGGACGTTAGAAATATCCTTCAAAAGCAAAGCCGAGCCCGAGGGCAAGGATTTGCCAAAAATAAGTTGCAACGTTTGGTCAGTCCGAGAAACTTGTCCTCCAGGTCTCGGCCATGGACGTCTCTATTCGCACGAACCGGTACGAACTTCGCATGAACGAACGTAGCTCGCCTTAAAAGCCGAGCACCTCCTTCTCCTCTCTGGTTAGAACGATCCAGAAGCATCTCCACGGAGAACGCGGCCCCCCC